GAAGGGAGGGATATATATGTGTGTCTGTGTGTGTATTATTGTAATAAAGTAAAAACAAACACACCAATAATTTTAAAACCAAAAGCAAGAAACTGGTTAAAATGTTAATCTTGTCCTGTAGAATTTAAAAGTTACCCTTGTATCAGGGTATGCTCAATTTCACATTGAGAGCACATTCCAGTTAGTATTCATGCTCTAAGTTTTTAATGTAGTGCAGTCATGGACTTTAAGCTTTGTTGTTTTTCCAAAGTACCTATCATTCATCTGCAGCCATCATTTATATACTACCTTTAGATAGAAACACCTCTAAATAAAGCCATAGCTTTTATTTGCAGTAAACTTGGTTTTCATCACCATTTATAATTTAGATTTCTAGGACGCTGGTGGCGCAACAGGTTAAGATGCAGCACTACAAGCTAGCCACAGCTGCTTCCGTGCAAGTTAGATTCCAGGCCCCGTAGGTGACCCACATGGCGTAGCAGACCACTCCTGTCTCTCCCGCTGCTCCCCTCAGCAGTATATTGTTGATCTGCCTGTTCTGCTCCCCACTCTGTCTCTGGTGAATCCTGTCACTGCCCTGCACCTCTGGCTTGTACCCCAGTTCTATATGTATAAATAAATAAATCTTTAAAAAAAATAAATAATTTAGATTTCTAGCATCACTCTTCCAGTAGTTACCACACCACACCCACCACCAAGACACCCAGGATCCTACACCATAGTAAAGCCACAATTTTTAAATGTGAATGAAATATCTGAGGGTGTGTCAATGGCATGCCAGTTCTTAAAGGCAAATATCTATAGATGTTTACATGTAAGCAAGACTGAAAATCGGTGGGAAATCCCTCTAGTAATATAAATGAATTTTGCAATGTGTTCAGCCAGAATGACCCATTTTAAGACTACAATGTAGACCTAGCAAACTCTATTGTTCCTATGTCCTAGTTAAATTTCCCTGCCAAGACATTTCATGCAGTACCTCTCTTCAACTGTCCATTTTCCCCTTTATGCAAAGAGCTCAAACTTGTCAAACTCTGTGTTGACATAGCCAGCAGTATCACTCTTTTTTTAATACAAGAGAAAAAGGGCAGTCATTTAGACTTTGTGGGTTTTGAGTCCTTGGCACCAGCCTTCATATATAAAACCCATGCCAACATTATTACTAGGTTTGTTGTTTCAGACATACACTTGATGTGGAGACTAAGGAAGGCCCTTTTTTTTTATATATATATTGTCAGGTTATCACTTATAGAACTACAAAGCTCTATAAGTAAAAGAATGGTCATGCTTTCTATATCTGAGTGAGACTTAGGAAGATTCAGAATGTGTACTGAAGAATTTAATTGATTGTGAGTTACCTGTAAAAAATAAATCTGTACTTAATCTCAGCTCCACAGCTAAAAATTCAGATCTCCTGATTTTCTTTGACTTTTTAAAACATTTTTCAGTTTCAGAAAGATGGCTAGCAAGTAAACAGATTATGTAAATTTTTAAACCATTTTTCATGATCTATCATTTTAAGTATAATTTTAATCATAATTGTCCAATTTATAGCCTTATGCTAAGAATGATGTTACTGTTTATTGTAAGATTTTGAAAAGCTTTCTTGAATCACTGTAAATGAAATTATTGTTCTATCTAATCTTAAGTTTAACTTTTATGTCTGATACTTTAGAACCAGTTGTAATCTAAATATAACTCACATACAACTGAATGACTCTCAAATACCTAAAATAAACAATTAAGTTAAAAATATCATGATTAAAAAATATATCATGCTTCACCTTCACAAAAAAAATTACTTTTGTTAATTTATAATAAATTGCACAGAAATTTTTATCTACAAATTGGGGGAAAGTTTACTAAATAATAGTAAGTAAAATTAGTAAGAGGCTACTTTTAAGACAAAGAAATTAGTGTATTCATTTTTTTAACATGTATTGAGACTACATAAATAAGGAAGTGTTTTTAATTAAAAGGAACACCTACTTAAAATTTTTAGGTAACAGTTACTTTATTATATTCATTTGAAAATAATATTTTATAAAATGGCTTGTAGTTCTGGCACTCCTTAGTCTTCCTCTAATTTTGTTTCAATTATTTTATTATAGAATTACAATTGATGGTTATCTATAAAACACTTTAAAGCTTATTGAGAGTGCTATTTATATTTGCCAGGGAACTACAAGTCATAAATAGCAAGTCAGTGAGCACCAGGTCTAGAATATAAAATGTTAGAATTGCTCTATAAAAAAAATCAAAAAGAATTAAATAGCTTCAAATATCTCCAACTAATGTTATATAAAGATACATGATAATCTTCTGGTCTATTTGTAGAGGGAAATAGAACTTATAAGCGCAGATGGATATATATGTACTATATATCTTGACTGAAGGATTGATTTTGTTTGAAATCCATAGTGTGTTAGCCTCCATACAAAGCTTAAAAGTTGCTTGCAATCCAAGAAACAGGATTAACAAACAGTTGCATTTAACAAAACACATTTTGTTTTATGGGGAGATAGAGCAGGAAAATAAAGGGGGTTGTCAACAATAAGTTATTAATGGACTTTTTTGTTCCACCTTGGAGTCTTTCTGGAAGAGAAGATGTTGAGGTTAGATTTCTTAAAGGAAACAAAATGCTTAAGTATGTACATGCTATATTGAAAACGGTTAATATCACAAGGTAATAAATGTAGGTTTAAATTTTTTTTAAAAAAGATTTATTTGTGCATACAGAGCTGGAGTACAGGCCAGAGGCTCAGGGGCGGTGAGAGGCTTCACCAGAGACAGATTGGGGAGCAGAACAGGCAGATCGACGAAGTACACTGCTGAGGGGAGCAGCTGGCTGTCAGAAGAGGTCTGCCACGCCATGTGGTCACCTCCGGGGCAGGCGGGAATCAAATTCATGTGGAAGCGGCTTTAGATTCTCAGTGTTGTGCGTTAACCCGCTGCGCCACCAGGGAGGGCCAGGTTTAGATTTTTAACTTCAAAATGAACTCTGCAAGTAACGTGATTAATGTCAGTGCATTGAGCTCCAGTAAAAGTGCTGTGACATAGGAAATTATAGAATCAGCGTGTTTCCTCAAGTATGTTCCATGGACTACTATACTAGTTCTATGTCAAAACTAGGCAGTAAGAAAAGTGTGGTCAGATAAATTTAAAAACTGGTTATTATACTGCCCTTTTGAAGAAAGACAGTGCTGTTAGCATCTTAGAACTCTTAAGAGATCTAGAAATAAGAGAACTTTAAAAGATATGTTTTGTTTTCCAAATTTACTGGATCAGAGGATCCTGGTTTTCTTAGACCAACTTCAGGAAATAACATATTAAACACTCGTTTCTGGGCCCTCTCTGGTGGCACAGTGGGTTAAAGCACTGCACTGAGAGGCTGAAGCCACTTCAGCATGAGTTTGATCCCCACCTGCCCCGGAGGTGATCTACATGGTGTGACAGACCTTTCCTGACCCCGCCCATTGCTCCCCTCAGCAGTGTACTTGTCAGTCGGCCTGTTCTGCTCCCCACTCTGTCTCTGGTGGATCTTTTCACCGCCCCTGCACCCTGGCCTGTACCCCAGTTCTGAATGTATAAATAAATAAATCTTTAAAAAAAATCTGCTTTTGTTTCTACCAGGAAGACATGAGAAGTTATTCCTATGTGTCTGCTTTTTCATATATGATGCTGAGTGCAATATTCAAAATATAAGAATGTTTCCTAATAGTTTTTAAATTTTCATGTGTGCATTTCTTTAAGATTTAATATTAATGCCCTAAGAATTTAGATTATATTACTTGTAAAACTGGAAGAAAGTTGAACTAGAAAGCTATTTAGGCTCTGAGAACCAGCTTTGGTTGTTACTCGATGGCCCACACAATCTGTTTGTTTGTACCTATCTTTTCTTTTTCCATTTCAAATTCAGAAAAGAACCATTGTGTGTTGGTTTACAGTTATATTTACTGTATGGCTGAGCACAGCTGAAGCTGAGCACAGCTGAACCACCCAAGCAAGTGTCTCAGCCTGTCTCTTGTCAGGCACAGGCCATAACCCTGCCAGTGGTCACACGAGTACAGCAGAGGGTCCGATGCTACCTTCCGGTGTGGAAGGGGACTGGATATGACAAGTGTTCTCGTTAAAATGTTCATAGAAAAAAAATAGTTTTTCCCATGTTAATCTAAAGGACAGCTCTGGAAGAAGTGACTTAGTGAACGTCTTAATGCTTGTAAATTTCTTATGTGACACTAGATTAGCTATGAGAGAAGATAATAGGGCTGTGAGAGGTAACTAGGGAAAATTTCAGATTTTCTTTTACTCACAGCTCAGAAGTATTTTGTATGGGTTGAGATTCTACAGGCAACCCAGTGAAGCAGAGGGCACAATAAAACTTTACCAGGAGAGTTATATAAATTATGAAATTTAAAGGTGTACTCTACATTTTATAAACTCAGCAGTTTGCAACATGTGTATTACACTTTGATATGCCAAACAAACTTTTCTATAACAACTTAATCAATGAGTATACTTTTGCCATTTTTTTCCTTTGAAATTTTACAACTCTTGAGATGTTCGGCTCTAACACAGACAAGTGTATTGATAGTTCTCTCTCATTCTTTTATGAGTGATGAACATACAGTGCTACTTCTGTGGGCCTGTGGGCCCTAGAGATGGCTGTAACCTGCTATTGACCAGCTGATTGAAGATAAATGGCTTAGCTGCTTGTATTGCAGATTACATCATTAACATGGTCAGTAAACCATGAATTGTTCAATAAGGCGTTTATCTTTTTTCATTTTACTTCTGCTCTTTTATCATTTTTATTATAAAAGATGAAATTACCCACACTAACCAGCAAGATAAGTTGAGAAGAGACCCAGTAAGGCATCATTATGGGTGCAAAGTTGCAGATAGCTGACTGAGTTATAATGGTTTACTGATATTTAGTATATGTTTTTGAACTGAAGAAAATAATAGAGTTTTGATAATCTTCTCTGCTTCTCTTACAGCTTCCTTTTGCTTCGTATTTACTAGAAGCAGTACTGGAAAAAGTAAATGAAAAAAAGAAGCTAGATGAAAGATATTTCACAATTATGAAAGATATTAGATGATATTATAATGGAGAATTTTTTTCAAATGTGAAAAGTTTTTATATGGTGTGATTGGAAAACATGCATTGCAATCCTGATACAGTATCTGTTCCAACTATCAATAGTCAAGCTCAATACCAAAATAAGAATTCTCTGAAACTAATTAATTGCTGAACAAGTGAAATAAATTAAGTGCATAGCCATTTAAAAGGAAATAGTGTAGCATTTGATTGTTGAATGCAAATATTGCCACAAATCAATGCAAACTCTTAAACATGATTTTCCTTCCAGTGCATTAGAAAAAATTCGAACAAGCTTGACACACATAACTTAGCCTGAATGTAATAAGAAAAAATATATAAACTGTGAGGATTTAATGTTTTAAATTTTGTAAAGAAATGACATATATAAAACTGCTATACATGGGCTAAAGTCATCCAAGGAACAACGTATTTGTTTTGTAAGCAGATCTAAAATGAACCACCAAAACTTAAGGATAAAAATTTAATTAAAGTGTGTTGTCCATGGTATCTGTTCTCACTATTCTGGATGATATAGGAGATCTACTGTATTTTTCTAAAGCTATTTGACAACAATAAAAACATTTTCTCCTCCTCTCTTTCTCTCTCTCTCTTTTTTTTAAGTTAAAAATATTATGTGTGGTCATATAATTTAGCAAGGACCACAAACCCAGTAGTAAATCTAACATAACGCCCACTAATTAACTTAAGCTAATTAATTAAACTAATTAAAGTTATATTTTAAGCAATATTATCCTTATTTCCATTCACCAATGTTCCCACATCATTTCACCTCTTTACTATGTTTCATGTCACACCTGACTCTCTTGGTTCCCCTGACTCACCAAACTTCTGCCTGTACCCAGCCTTGACCCTTGTTCTCTCTTTCTAGAATACTCTGTACTCACCTTTTTTGTCTACTGACTTCTTTCAGGCTCACTTTACGTAGTCCCTGAGAGACACATTCATTTATCCTTTCTTCTTCTATTAAATTTCCTTTGAAATACAAAAATAACTAGTTTACCTATTTACTTGTTTACTTCCATATCTCCACCTTGCCCCATTAGATTTGGTCTGCCTACAAGCTATGAATAGTTTGCACATCAGTGAATGATTAAAAAAAATTATAAGTAATATTGTATAGCACGTGACATTTATGTGAAATTCAGATTTTGCTTCATCAATAAAGTTTTTGAACATGGTGATGCTCCTTGATTTATGTATTGTCTGTGACTGCTGTCATCTGATGGTAGTGGAGGCAAGTAGTTGTAAGCAGAATTACTAGTGGTGCTCTCACTCTGCACTACTACTTGGTACAACATTTCAGGTGCCACAAATACTATTATGCCATGATTGTTTTTAATCTGTATGTATGCTCTTCTTGCGAAAAGAAAATAAAGAAGGAAAAATGGCTGTCCATTATCACATGTTTAAGGTATAGTGGAATCTAAATTACTTTACTGTTGAAATAAACAACAAAGCATTACGTTCATGTACAATAACACTGGCTGTGTTAAAAGAATAATATTTGTTGACAAAAACAGATTAAGTACTCATCACAATATCCTCAACTCACTGGAAAGCAGCAGTATATCATCTAACATGTAATATCACAACAGTTTTGTTACAAAGCTAAAAATGAGACTCCACTGTATTACCAAAATTATTAAAATAAAAACAGCACAAAGAAAGAAAGCATGGTAAGTGGAAAAGATGGCCTCTTAATCATTGAAATCTGTGACTTTGTTACTTGGCAAAAGGACTTTCTGATGTGATTAAATTAAGAAATTTGAGGGATTATCTTGAGCTATCTCTTTAAATCTAATGTTTTCTAAGAAGGAAGCAAGAGGAGTTAGATAGCAGTCTTGCCACTGAAGCAGCAGGACAAAGAAATTTGAAGGTGTTTGTCCACTGATTTTAAGAACAGAGACATGGGTTCAAGAACTAAAGAATGTGAGCAACCCCTGGGAATGGAAAAGGTAAGGAAATGAATTCTCCTTTAAAGCTTCCAGAAAGAATAAGCATTATTGAAACATCTGACTTCCGCCTGGTAAAACAGACTGAACATCCAGAGGTCTGAGAGAATACATTTGTGTGTGTGTGTTTTTTTTTAAAAATTTATTTATTTATTAATACAGAACTGGGATACAAGCCAGAGATGTGGAGGGTGAAAGGATTCACCAGAGACAGAGCAGGGAGCAGTACAGGCAGATCTATAAAGTACACTGCTGAGGGGAGCAGTGGGCGGGTCAGGAGAGGTCTGCGCCCCATGTGGTCACCTCCGGGGCAAGCGGGGATCGAACTCATGCGGAAGTGGCCTTAGCATCTCAGTGCAGTGCTTTAACCTACTGCACCACCAGGGAGGGCCGCATTTGTGTTATTTTAAGCCAATGAGTTTGTGGTAGTTTTGACTACAGAAACCAGTAAACTAATACGATTTGCTAAAATCATGTTCAGGATTTTTATATCTGTGTTCATAAGGGATACCTACTGTAAGATAGAAGATCAAGGCCGATGAAGTATTCAAAAATTAAGCCTCCACTTTAAGAGGTTAAAGAAGAAATAGTACATGATCATAAAATTTGTAGAAAAAGCATTTGAAAAATTCAACACCAATGTATGAGGAAAAAAAAAAAAAAACTAGAAACTTCCTCTTTCGATAGGGACATCTACAAAAACACCTACTACTAACATAAGAAGATTGAACATGTCTCACTAAAATGAGAAATAGAACAAAAGACTGAACAGAACAAAACACTGACAACATCACCCCTCCCCACAAGCAAGAGAGAATTCTGCCACCAGACAACCTTTGAACTTTTACTGCAACATTGGCTGTTTCTGGTTCTCCAACCTGCTGGTCCACCTTGGAGAGTTTGACTTGCCAACCTCCATAATTTTGTGAGCCAATCACTTAATGCAAACCTCTCTCACACATATATCCCATTGATTCTGCTTCTCTGGAGAATCCTGGCTAATATACCAGGTTTGGACTGTTATGTAAAATGTCACTATGGAAATTGACAAATAGATTGTTACCCTCAGTTCTTTGCTACATAAGTCTTTTCAATATGGCAACCCACTTCCTCACACATAAACAGGAACATAGGCATCTTGAGAGATTACAAGAATGTACATAACAGGACGTGACATTCATTAAGAACCATTTCAGAAAAAAAAAAAAATCATTTCAGTTACCTAGTATTATCAAGATGAAGGAGAGGCTTCTAGAGAGTCTGCCTTTGAAACCAGCTTTTCAAGGTAAGCATATATTTTATTTAGAATGATGATTTACTTGATTAGTTTGGGGAAAAGAAGACAGATATAACTTAGAGTTACAAATTTGCAAATGCCCCTTTAGAGCACTAATGACATAAACAAAAACCTGCCGAGAGTGGAGTTTGTCACTAGAAAATGCTCAAGGGAATTTAAAGAGATGGTTAACTCTCATCTTTAGAGAACTATGAATATCATTTACTAGTAAAAATATAAATATTCTAAATGAAACAAATTCTAGTTACTAAAATACTTAGATATAATAATTCATCATTGGCCAAATAGGTTTGATTCCAAATATAATGATTAGGAAATATATCAATGTACTTAGTTATAGCAACAAAATGGAGAAAGAATATTGTGCTGTATATAGTAATGTTTAGCAGATTTTATGCAATAAAGTATACTGACAAATGATAAGTAGAAAATGAAAAAGGGTCCATAGACAAATGTTCCTGAGTGTGAAGTTAAAAACATTTTTTGCTTACTTCTCAGAATGGAAAAACAGTCCTGTTCTAGTGAGAGCAATATCTCCAACTGGCTATCTGATAAACAACTCAAATTTCACATGTCCAAAACCAAACACTGAATTTCCCCCAGCCTTCCTCTGTCTCAGGGAGTGACAACTCTAAGCATCAATTTTGTTGGGTCAGAAAGTCTTGTCATCCTTGTGTCCTCTTTTAACACCCCACCAGTGCACCAGAAATTCATCAGTCCATGTATTGACTACCCTTCAACTGTGTCCAGAATCCAATAGGTTACCACTACCCCATTTTCACTCTAATTCAAACCATCTCTGAGCTGTGGCAGTTGCTTTAGTAGGGCTCGCTGATAGAACTGTTGCTTAAAGACACAATAGTCACCACCCATTGTTCATTTAAAACATGTGATCATGGCACTCCTTTCCTCAAAATCTCCCAATTGCTTCCCAGCTTACTCTAAATAAAAGCACTCATCCTTCTTCTGCCTCAAGACGTGCATATCTAACACCCAGTGCCTTTCAAACTTTTCCCTTTTGTTCCCTCCACTCCAAAACTGTGGCCTCAGCACTACCTTCTCCACTTTCAGTTCTTGGTCTGGAACTCCCTTCTTCACATGATTTACCCCCTCCTTTCAGGGTCTTATTCAATTTTTCTCCATTAAGGAACTTCCCCCCAATAGCCTCATTATCCAAAATGGCCTACTCTACCATGTCCCTCCACCATTTTATCCTGTCTTACTTCTTCCTTAGTGTTATGTTGTATCTGTTGATTACTCATATCTTCTATAGACTTACAAGTTCTACCATACCGAGAGTAGATTTTATTCTATTGTATCATTGTTACCCTAGTCCTAGAACTGTTCTCTGTGCATAAAGACAAAATGAATGTGCGCTGATTAAAGGAATCTTTATCAAACAAAGCATGCAGACACGGCAAAAACAATGGCAACAAACAGTTGGAGAATCAAAGTACGCTGAGGATTGAACTGTGTCCCTGGAGGGTAAAACGAAGTTTCCGGCTTTTTTACATCCTCCCGCCAAGGGCGTGGATGCCTGTAGTGGAGGCGTGAGCTGGGACACACGCTCCTGTAATTATGAACACCCGGGCCCAGAGAGCAGGGGGTGTGCGCATGTGTAAATGCTCACACCTGTGCCTAGAAGGCAGCGGCAGCAGCTCAGTCGGAGAACTTCTGAGAGGAGGGGAGACAGTAAAGCAGTTCCCAGAGGGCTGGGGGGCTGCCTGGCCTGCCCGCTGGCCCGCTGGCCCGCTTCTGTGTCTGGTTCCCTGAGAGCATTAAATGCCAGGAAAATTCTAGGTCCACTGAGGGCTCCAAGACTCTCTTAATCCATTTGCCCGAACTGACCATGAACCTGCCCTGTGCTGGTGCTTGCACTGCAGTCCACGAAAAAGGTATGTTGAAGCCCTAGTGTCAGTGCTTGAGGCTTTATTTAGAAATAAGGTAGTCTGGGAGGGAAAAATCCTCTGGGAATAACTCACTCATAAAATCCATGCTTACTTTTTGTTGGACACCAGCTTGGCTGGGGTAACAAGACCTGATGATCTTCATTGAGAATAGGACAGACAGGTGAGGAGCATGGACATGAAATTACAGGTGAGGAGCGTGGACATGAAATTAACAGAATTCTTGCTTCAATATACTTACTCTATACGATAAATAAAATTGTGTACTTTATATTTTATATATATATATAAATACTGTGTCTACATAAAAATAAAAGAAATAAGGTATTCTATTCACAAAGCAAAGTTCTAGTGACGGTGTTCTTAGAGAGGAGTTTGGAGATACAGACACATGAGGGAGACTGGAGCACAAGAGGAGGGAGGCAGAGGCTGGAGTCTGCGGCCACTTGCAGCCCCGCCAGATAGGCCGGCACTTCCCATTCCCAGGTAGCAGGGCTCGGCTGCCGGCTTCACTTTAGGCCGCCGATTACCACAGGATAAATGCGTTAAGTCACCAAAATCGTACAATTTGTTGTGGCAGCCCTAGGAAACGAAGACGGGCTGAAAAGTAGTTTCTCAAGTTAATTGAGTGATCAATGCATCGATCTAATTAAATGCCAGAATCAGAATGCATTCTTCCAGATTGTCCAGCTCATATTCTTTCCCCTAGACCAGTATTTCTCGACTCCTTTATCAAACACCCAAGTAGACTTTCCCCAATCTCTAATACTAATGTCATAGTTGACCCTTTGAAGAGTCACAGACCATTCTCATCGAAGTTTTTGCTACCCAACCCCACTTCCCAAAGAATCTGTTTTCGTTCCTTGAGGAGAATGTCGCCCCATTGGTGATGTGATGGAGCAATCAGGTAACAGCAATAAATGAAATGCCTCTTTTTCTGTAATCTGGATTCACAGTTTAACAAGTATCTGAGAAATGTCTGCAGGAAAAAGCCACCGAGATCTTGAGGTTGTTTGTTTCCCTGGATAAACCTACTACCACATTCTGGTTAGTACAGTATCGCACAGGGAAAAAAAAATGCATAAAATTAACTCTTCTCATTTCAATTTTACATAGTTCTCACAAAGAAAAACTCCAATAAAGCTTTAAAACATACTACTTTTCTGAGTTTGTTGTTTAATATTTAACTTTTTACTAGTCTTATTACATATTAACTTTTAAAACAAAGGA